CGTCTGTGGTCACACCTGGCGCTCAAAGTCAGCCCGATTTCTTCCAAATTGATATTCCCGCCGGATTGAGCTCTATGAACTCGAGTCTGTAGCGAGTCTTTACAACAATATATATAATAAATACCTATTGAACAGGATATATCCACCTTTCTGTAGTCCAGTATTAAAGTTTTTTATGTGCAAATAATATAATATAGACAAATAATTAATAAATAATAATAATATCAATAATAATAATAATAATTAATAAATAGACAAACAATCTATAAAATAATAAAAATAATAATAATAAAATAATAATAAATATTTATTGGAGTCCACATATTGAATTACAATCATGTATGAGAGTTCAATATGATGCTGTTGGTGAGACGAAGCTTACATTACTGGTTCAGGAGAATAAAGGGCCATTCTTCCAGCATTGCTCCAAATAGCAGGAAACTGAACAAACCTGATCGAGATGTGTTCATTGGCTAAATATACATATTTGTTACCAGTTAGATTAAGATTATACAGTAATAAATTTACTGCTTAATAACAACATTTCAATATTTATTTAATGGCTTCTAACTTATAATAAATAAAATAATAATAATAATAATAATAAATTACATAATAATAATAATAATAAATAATAATAAAAATAAATAAATAATATAATAATAATAATGAATAAATAATAATAATATAAATGATACATATCCATTATGTTGCAATACATCAAAATTTAATAGATGATAGTAATTCTATATTTAATAATATTGAAATGTGAGGAGCGAGGTTTGACAGTTTTCTTTCTTCTTCCTATCCTTCTTCTGTTTCACAAGGATTCTATATCAGTTTTTTTTTTCTTTGCTTATCTGAAAAGTTTAACAACAAACAGAACAGTCTAAGGGATAAGAAATTTTATTTATTTTTATTATTTTAGGAAATGTTGTAATTTTGAAAAATTTCCTTACACTTGTAGCATGTTGTTAAGAGGAAAGTTTCCATTACTTATTAAATGTATGAACTTGTATTTATGTCTTTGATATCTTGCTAGTTTGTTGTAAAGTGTAATGCCCTCTATTGGGTTAAATTTTTGCATAAAGTAGTAGTTTAAGAGTGGGAACGTGTAGGTATCCTTTTGACGGGTGTTGTAATTGTGTAGTCAGAATTTAAAGAAAAGTGTCTTTGTTTTCCATGAGAATTTCTTTGTGAGACCACTATTTAAAATATTAATGCTCATGGCTAAGGAAGAATCCAATAGTTTAATAAACAAGGGTTTGCAAGACTCCAGCTTATGAGGGCTGGTCATTTTCAATATTCTTTTTGGATAATAAATGTGGAGTGCTTTCAGGGGCATTTCCCCAGAATATTATTCCATATTTTAGGTGTGAGTGCACATTTACAAAATACATTTTCGAAGTGTCTCAATGTGAAGCTTGACCTGAGGGGCATAGGCAAGATTTGCTGAGCTTCTTGTTGAGATTTGAATGTGAGTGTTCCATTTTAGGTTTTCTTGAATTGTTAGTCTGAGGAAGGTAGTTTCATGAGATATCGTTACAGGTTATTGTTTATGAGCAAATGCTGTGAGAGTTTTTCTTTAGATCGAGGATTCCATGAATTTAGAGAGACTGTCTTGCTGTGTTTATATGAGTTTGTTGTCTTAAACCATTTTACTAGTGCTTAAAGTTTTGTGGGTTTTTTTTCTAATGATTGTTGTGTTTTTGCCTTTATGATGTTTGTTTGTTGTCATCTGCAAACAAAATTATCTTTGTTGTTCCTTAAAGCCAATAGGCACATGTCATATATGTATTAAGGAATAGTATTGCCCAAGGATGGATCCTTGCGACTCCACATTTTTTATTTGAGGACATGTAGAGTATGAGAGGAGATTTTGTTTCTTTTGTGTGTTGGAGGAACTATTTGCTAGGTTTGATAAGTATGAGAGTTGATCCGATTGGCCTGCAATGCTTAATCCTCTAGGCTCTATTTCGAGGATATTTTCTTTTTAACTTGAAAAGAAAATCTGAGTTCTCATTAATAATTTAATTGTTCTACAGCATAATGAGATAATTGTAAACAAAATGAAAGATCTAAATTTGGTTGTTTGTAAAAACTAGAGAAGTATTCATTGTTAAAGGCATAGGATTTAACAACAAAGATAATTTTAAAATTTTCACATTCAAATACAAATCATATATGAATCAAAACTGAAATTCATTCTTGGGATTTACAATATCTCTTACAATATTGTTAAGAAAATCATAGAGAAAAAATGATACAATAAGAGTTGACTTTGAATTCACAAAATTAGGAAACCTCACATGTTCAAGCAGTAAGATTTTTCAGGGGGCCTAAATCACTTCATTTTCACAGTGATAAAAGCTAGCAAGCTGATTTTTTTCTGTTCTTGTATTTCATATGAAATATATGAGTAATATATAAAATAGAGGAGACATATTTAAAAGTATTTGAAGTTTATGGGCATGTGGAGTTAACATGCATCACAAATAATGATGGTACATGACTGAGATGAGCCTTTGGAGCTGTTCTAATAGTGCAAGAGAGCTTGGCATTGGGCATTTACTGCCCTCAGGTACACAATAGAACCATCTTCCTGGGTAGTTCTACCTTGGACGGCCCTTCGGCTGCACCATACCACTCTCGAAACGGATTCTTTGTTGGGGGGGGGCTAGATAAATATCTGCTGGGAAAGGGGTAGGGCAAAACTAAAGGTAGCCTTCTCTTGAAAGATAGGGACAAAACCTAGAACAAGAAAGTCTGTGCTATTTTATTAGTACCATTTGTTTCCTAACAAAATATTTGGGCAGGAAATATATTGGAAAATATGTGTTGAACATATTCTGTGTTGTTTATGCAAATTGTGGAGTCCTAAAGCTGGAGCCTAGTCACCAACCTGGGCTTGTGTTGTAGTAAGGATTTGTATGCGCAAACTAGATTTGTGTGTGTGTGTGTATGTATATGTGTATGTGTAGAAATTTATAGATATAAAAATGAGCATCAAAAAGATTCTCAAAACTCCAAATTAAAATGATTTGCAGTAGGGGGAATTAATTTGTTCTACCCTTCCTACTATTACCTTGGATATGATCCATTGCCTCAATCCACCATATGCCACTGGATATTACAACTAGTTAGTAGAATTTCATGATTAGACAAAAAATCAATTAGAAAGATTCAAGAATTTTTCATCATCTTCTGCAAGACAAAGCAAAATAACAAAAAAAAAAGTAGTTTGCTTAATAATTATTGTAATCCCTTTGATTTTTTTACAACGTGATTTCTTTTCGTTAACTTTGCAATTTTAAAATTATGTTAAGTATTCTAGCTGTAGATTTTAAATTTTGTAGCTCTTCATGTCCTTTGCTTAAATTGTTAAAATGAAAGAAAGAAGTGAGTTACAAGAAAAAGTATGTCGCTGATGGTTTTGAATGGAATTGAGGAAATCGTAATTGAGTATACCGTAATTCATGAAAGTGAAATAATGACTTTGTCTCCTTATTTATTTTCAAGAATTAATAATTATTTCTACATGAAGAAGAGAATTTTACTTGGCAAGGCAGCAAGCCCCGTCTCATTCAGGTTTTGCTTCTGATCATAAATGTAGATTCACTATGTGCACATTTGGTTGAACTCTCCTTTTGCTTGTAATGGTAAGATTAGAGATAAGGGCGAGTTACTATTTTGTTAGCAATGCAGAAAAATCATATTTGCAATTAATTTACAGATGCAAATAAGTTTCCTATTAATTCGGAAACGAAAATGTCAATTTTTAAGATATTGCTTGTCTTGCGGTTTTTTAAATTTATTTTTATTTATTTATTTTAAATTTTACTCCTCTTTCAACTATTTATAGTTAAAATGATAGGAAGGAATTCTGGAACTCAAGAAAACGTGCGCAAATAATCTTCTTCCACATACAGTTTTTTGACTAAATAAATCTAAATCTAAGGTTCAATTCCTGAAATCATTAGTTAATCAGTTGAATTGATTGAACAATGATGCACATTTTTTAATGACATTTATTCATATTTTTCCTCTAAATGCCTTCCATGAGTATAATAAGAGTATGGTACTTGGCAACAAAGAGTAATTGGTAAGAGTTTGTGGTGTCTAAGTGCAAAACTAATAATATTTTGTTATAAGTGAAAATAAAGGTCCATCAATTGCATCAGAATTATGGGAATTATGAGTGTTCAAAGGAAGTTCGCACGGGATGTGACCGCAATGTGAGTTGCTCTTGTTAGTACTCACTGGTGACAAAAGAATACCGACAACGAAGCAGACTCCGAAACATGGCGGGTGCCTGTAGTGAAAGTATGCCAGTATCTCCCACTTTAACATCAGAAACAGACATTGATTGGCCATCAGACGACAAAACTTTGTCACCATCACCTTCAAATTCATCTATGCGAGAAGACAGGTGGCCTCATCTTGTAGTGTCCATGCCTCCGCGGGATAAAGCAAATAAGGGTAAGTGTCAAGTCTGTTAAACTTTTGCCCCTTTTTTTGTCTTAGCGTTGTGGGAGTAGTGTTAGGTGTGTCAACATAACTACTCATTAAATTTTGAAATTTTATGGAGCACCTACTATGTGTAATTGTTTAATGTCAAGTTTATGTCATAAGATCATAACCTCAATGTTATCATGGGAGCTCTGATATTAATACTATATAAAGTGTGCCATTTCTGCTCATTATTTAATTGGGATTTTAGGTTTTAGGAATTGATAGAAACTGATAGTATTTTATCACTAGAGATAAAGTGCTTGGAATCATATGTTCCTGTTTTCTCTATACATTTAAGTTAATTCTTATTTGAAACATTATAGTTACTGTTTTCTATTTACAGTAATTTCTCTGAGACACGACTGTACATTTTTCTGACTGAATATTTCTGCCTAAAAAGAATCTTATTATATTCTTTTCTTCAGAAAAAAAATATTTAAAAAGATATGGTGCTAAAATATGATTTGTTCATTTCTGTAGTCATTTGGGGTTTGAATTTGCAAAATCAATTTGATTTATTTGATGTTTCATGTCATGAATTGTGAAAATTTTGTCATTTGGAACTTTCAATTGATTGTAATTCCAATAATAGTAAGAAACAAAATGCTTATGAGTAAATATTATTTTGTGGTGTACTTATGACTTTTGTGTGTCATATCATATGCCATTATTTCTAAAATGAAGAGAATGTTTTACATTAGATTCACATTAGCCCTACAGTTGATAAATGAAACATTTTTTAACATATATATGAGTAATTCATGTTTCTCATCTATGTTGTTGCTGGTTTCATGTAAAGAATTGTTTATTTTTCTGCAGAATTAAGGAACTTGAACTGAACTGTACTGACAATAGAAATTTCACAATTTAGAGTAATATGTATGTATGTATATATGGATATATATGTAAAGAGCATAAAAACAGATTTGTGTGTTGTATGTGATTTGTGTAAATGTTGTGAACATACTGGCGAGTTTTGTGAAAACTTAACTTTTTGATAAGAATGTTAACAGAAATAGAATAAAACCAAAGCATGCTATTTTAAAGTGTATTAATGGTTATGAATTATTTCTTCAAAATCCATTCGTTATGTAAAGAAATTTATTGTATGAATACATGATTTTTTGCTGCGCGGTTTGCTGTGAAAGTCCCTGGGAGTATGACTACATCCGCATCTGCCTTGTCTCCTTCTCGCGCAGTGGTATTTGCCGGAAGCGCACGCACTCAATCCCAATTCCATTGGCCTCGCAATCGGCCGAGAACGGCGCGTCAGGCAGTGTCGTAGCGCGGGGTCAGCCGCCCGGGGAGAAGGGAAATTTCGCCGCCTCCTTGTTTAGGTATTTCAATTTCAAAGACTAAAATAAACTTAAGCTTGAACAACGTAGCAAATAATCAAACGTACAATTATGGAAATAAAAAAAGCGTAAATAAAATATTTAATACATAGTCAAATATACGCGTGCGCAAACAACGAAAATTTCAACAAACTTCAATAATTAAATAATCACTCCACGGACTTACGAATACTAAAACCACTGTTTGGAAAGCGTATACATATATACAATCAAGTTAGTGTGAATTGGACAACTGCGATCCATCAACGAAACTGTCTTTGAATTGTCAAAGCGTCTCTTACGGACTCCCCTGAAGGGGCTTATCCGTTCTGTAATCTAATTTGCTGGTGTTATTATTCAATATTGATCACAATCCCCACACTTCAGCATACACGGTGTTGCCAGTCACTTCAACGAGCAAATGTCATTTTACATTCAATTAAACAGGCGCGGGAGGTAATTGAGAGACATTGAAACGAATAAAATCGTGTCGCAGCCTGATCTGAGTGCAGCCTGCGACATTTTACAAAATCTGTAATACGACACGTTCGACCAAAATATTTTGAATTTTCCCTCCCAAAATTCGTTTCTGGATCCGTCCCTGATTTAAAGCAGTCTTCCCAGTATAAGTAATGAAAGATTCCGTGCTCGTTTCAATCGGTCGGAATCGTTGGGTGCAAATATGAAATGAAATAATTCAATTTTTTACGAAATATTATAATTATTTATTGTAAAAGTTTGCCGCCCCCTCACGCTACCCCACTAGTAGGAGGTCCCTCAGATCTTAAGGCGGCTCCACACATTCGGTATTCGCCGAGCAGCTCGTTCAATCCCGGTCCGGTGCTGACGTGTCCGGTGAATGTTCGCTCCCTTTGATGTGTACTAAAGACCGACAGGCGGTGGGCAGGGCGAGCACCGAATGTCCACACTCCTCGGGATTCGCCGAATGCCGCATGTGTGGAGCCGCCTTTACGTTCAGTTGGCAGTGTGCGTGTGAAGGTCAGGGGCGGATCCAACCGATTGTTTTGGAAGGGGACATCATAGATTTGTTGTTAAATGATCAACATTTGGTATAATATTGTATATTCTTTGTGTAGATGTTTATAATCCTGTACAATATTATTTTTTAAATAATTACATAATTCTTATATAAATAAATATTTAAATTATTTTTGCCAAGAAGGTAACAGACGAAAACTCTAGGCCTTTTTTTC